TTATTTTTGTAAAAAAAACCTTCAAAGTCTCAAAAGTTTAACATAAAAAAAACACGTTTTAATGAGTAAAGTGCATTTCCGCATACAGGGCTGAAACGATTCCTCAAATACTTCGATTACAAATAATGATCGAGGAATTTTCTCTGCCTCTCGTCTATAAGCTTGAATCGTCACTGTTTCACACGGATTCTTTTGAAGGTGACACGATGGGCTTACGTCACCACGGTAGAAGGAGGAGTCAGGACTGTTTAGGTTTTGCGGAGCGGGAAAATAAATGATGAGAGGGACTTGTCTTGCGGTTTTGCCAGCTTAGCGACTTTCGTGACTTTTCACGCTTGTTCTGCGATTGTCCTCTACTTCTCTGAGTCCGGCCTTCACTGCGGGGCTGTAGGAAATTAACTTTATGTGAGTCTGCCGTTTGGATCCAAATACTCGAGTAATCGATGGAATATTTGGTGGAATACTCGGTTACTAAAATATTCAACAGCTGCAGCTCTAAACGCATGCCTTTCAAAATAAGCTATTTTTCAAAATAAAAGACTTGTCAAACATCAGGTGCGCATTAAACTTTTAATTTTTTGACCAGCTGTTCGAGACCCATCTAGAACGTGTCCGCGACCCACTTTTGGGTCGGGACCCACCAGTTGAGAAGCACTGGTCTAAAGGTTTATTTTACTGTGTTAATGAATTAGACTTCCTCTGCTCACATTTGATCAGATGGAATAAATCATTCAGTCTTTTGAAGGTTTTAAATAACAGCCTTGATAACGTCAGGATTTGGACTCTTATGTCGTTCTACTTCAGAACCGTGTCTCTCACTTTTAGACGCAGCGGTCGTCCCCTCGTTAGCTGTCCTCGTCACTACAGCCTCTCTCTTGGCCTTTCACACACACACACACACACCTGCTCTCCTTGGCTTAACTCTGCTCATGTATTGGGTACTGTTTCTGTAAATTAATTTGTTAGAATACTGTGCATAAATGTATATAGAAGTTATCATTATTCCTCATATTCTTATGTAAGAGTTGATACTACAAGTATGAACTGTTTTGACCTCTTGTTACACATCATATGAGTGTTTTCTAACTTCTCTCTCCAATAGCTTTATTACACAGCACATGAGTGTTTCTTCATTTTTCTGTGACCTCGTTTCTCCTGTCAGCAGGTGTGTGTGTGTGTGATGTATCCTCCACTGTGAATCGTGGGAAGTAATGAGGAGGATCCGCTCTTATCAGAAGGAGCTCGTTTGATGCAACAATGTCGCCTTGACCCTCACATATTCTCTGTTGTTCATTATTCTGTTTTATGAGAATGCTTATGTTGCTGCACATATTTTCCCCCCACCCTTTAGAAACATTGTGTAACCAGGGACAACCCTAAATAAAAGAGACGGGACAGAAACCACCTTCAGAGTGGTTTCGAGATTGTACCTGATACTATCTCTGTCCATTCTCCTCGAGTATACACCATTGTCTTTCTCTTCTTTATATGTTTTCAGGTATTTGGGCAGGTTTTAGACCCAACATAATTCAATTATGTTTAATGTATGTTGATATTTGAACATCTGATTATTTCTGAACTATAACTACACGGTGAAAATGAATAAAGTCCAGTCAAATGTGTCTGTTGTTTGTGTTGTTCTAGTTTTGTTGTGTTGTTTTTGTCTCGTAGGCTGTTGTGAGATGTTGTGGTTATTGACGTTGTCGTTGTGTTTGTGGTGTGATCTGCGATGGAGAGATGATTGTAAATGTAGACTCCAGGAAGAAGAGTGATGGCCTTCGCTGAAGCTGACGGAGATCTGAATAAATGAAATGAAATCCTCTCCTCTAGTTTGACAGAGTGTTAAAGCTACAGCGACCCACCGATAACCTCAGCAGCAGAGCGTAAAGAAGTCTAAAGAAAGTCGTGTTCATGAATAGTTTGTTGTTAAAACTCTAAGAAAGATCTGAATTTAGATTTTGTTCAGGTAAAATCTGTGTTTATGTGGCACCGACACTTTTCCCATAAAGCCACAGGCTGGAAGAAAACAGGATGGAGAAATAAGGGCGAGGCTTTCACGACTAACACCGGGAACAGCCGCCTCACTGACTGACTGACTGACTGACTGACTGACTGACTGACTGACTGCGGATCGTTTCTGACCATCTGTATGAGTGCAAACATCAGCTCCATCATTGTTCAGTCTGTCTGAGAGGAGAAGACCAAAACAGAAACAAGAGAAACAAAAATAATAAAAGCAAACAAAGAAAAAAAAACAGTCATCAACAGCAGCCCTCTGTACACACAAATGCTCCTAAATATTACACACTGCACCTTTAACTGAAATGAACTCTGACCCTAAACTGAGTCCGATCTCTCCGTAGAGGGTAGCAGCTTCATTCTGGTTCCAGTGAACTCCAGGTTCATGAAATAAGGTGGTTTGGTTTTGTTCACAGATCTCTATCTCGCTCCCTTGAGGATCACCATTTTCAGTTTTCTGTAAATGTCTGTAAATTAGTGCAGATTTAATTAGATATGACCTCATTTACATATTTAAACATAATATTTGACTAAACTTGTAATATAATAAGAAAATATTTGTCTTAATGTAAGTTATAAACTCTGGAAGTTTCATGCTGATATCTGTTAGTTAAAAATTTTACCCTGTTCCTTCCTACCATCATGGACGCCATCTTGAAAATGACGCCTTTCTAGCGGTCAAACTTTTGTAAACTTTGAGTTTGTTATTTAGGACGTCTGATACTATAAAGAACAGCTGAGAAACCTTTGTTAGAATCTTTTTAGGGTTAGGTGATTTTTGTTTTCATATCTGTACCCGCCTGTTATAAAAACACTGGAGTCACAGACAGACTGTTCTACTGTCAGGGTGTCATATATCTGAGAAGGCCTGCTGTGATCATGTCTCAGAGACTCTGCTGGTTTTTCCATGTTCTCATCATCATCATCATCATCATCATCTGAGGATGAAGATGGATGTGGTGGAGATGACGTCTGCTGCTGCGTTCAGGATCGTCTGCAGAGTTCTGCTCTTCCTCTGTCTGTCTGTTCGTCCGTTAGTGTTGCGTGTGTGTGATGTTACGACAGTCTGCGTGCTCTGACAGGTAAACTCTGATCCTCCTGACGTTACAGGACACACACACACACACACACACACACACACACGCACACACACACACGGCAGCACCACACCTGGACTCTTACAGTCAGACTGGATCAGAACCAGGAGAGTGAGAGAGACCTCAGATCAGCTGAGAGGTCAGGTGGGTCATTACAAAGCACAGAGTCAAATTAATGCAAACACACACAAACTCACACACACACACACACACACACACACACACACTCAGGTTTAACGGTGATGTCTGTGAGTCAGAGAAACAGGCGCTCAGAGGGTTTACAGGGCGAGTCTGATAATGGATCATTCACACTGAACAAACAGTACAAGAGGGTGTGAGTGTGAGTGTGTGTGTGTGTGTGTGTGTGTGTGTGTGTGTGTGTGTGTGTGTGTGTGTGTGTGTGTGTGTAGCTGCCTTCAGAGAAATGAACCTAATGAGGGTTTTCTTCAATTATGGGAGGAGGAGGGTGAGAGAGGGTCTGTGTTTCACTGTGACACACGTTCAGGGTGAGAATGAGGGTGTGTGTGTGTGTGTGTGTGTGTGTGTGTGTGTGTGTGTGTTAGTGTAAACAGAATGAGTGTAAGAACTCTAATCTTCAGAATATAGCAGGACAAAAAAAAGGGGGTCTCCTATGGTCAACTTACCCCGTGTATGGGGGAGGGTAAGTTGACCTCCCTCCCTCACCTTCTCTCTCCCTAAATAACAGTCACTTCTTCACATTCATGTGTATTTTTATCTGTTATACTCTATTTAACTGGAACAATCATTCTTTTTATTATTATTACATACAACTGTTAAAACAACATTTGAAGATGAGAATGTCTTTAAGTGATTGAGAACATCCTCAGATCTGTATTTATGAAACAGTTTCAACAGTCTGAAGGTAAACTCTGATCCTCTCCTCAGACTCCTTTACTGTCTCTGTTCCCCCTGAACTACTATTTATGACAACTCATGTTGGAGCTCATAGAGACCACAATAGATGGATAAAACTAATTTAACCCTTTAATAAATCCTTTAATTTTCTCTAAAATCCTCAGTATGAATTCTGGTTGTGCTGACTGACCTCGAGCCGGTTTTCTGTGGCACACAGCGCTCAAAAAACTGTCAAAATGTTTCATTACGACTTAAGCTAGCTCGGTAAGCTACAAAGACGCACAGCCTGATGGTTAGTTGGAGCGCTGCAGCTGCCGTAGCCTCACAGAGTTATTGAAGGAGGTTAATTAAGTTTGACTTATCGGCTGTTTTGTTTGTCTTAAAGTGTTTTATCATCCCGTACCATTTATGTATGAAAATAGACGTGAACAGATGCGTTCATTGATGGTGCGCCTTATAGTGCGAAAAATATGGCACTTTTATAAACTTCTATCAAATCAATATGATCAACAAATTAGTAAAATAACTCCTGCATACAGTCTGATAAATGATAAAAATGTCCTCTTTTAGTTTATCAGTTTCCAAAAACATCTAAAGAGATCAATAAATATATTTGTTAAATTTTAAGGACATTTTGATTTTTTTGGTTTTCAGCAGTAAATAAAATAAACATTTCATTTGTGGAGTCGGGCATTAATACAGTTTGTCAAAATGATAAAATAACTAAATTCACAGTGAGGTTGTGCTGAAAAAAATGATACAGAACAAGACGAGGTAAACAGTTTTTAAGGGGAAATATAAAACCAGAAGTAGTTAAAAACAGCCGATTATACCCCAGGCTACAGAGGGTTAAAGGGATAAAATGATCTTTTTTTAGTCTGAACTCAATTCTAATCAAACTGATGACTAAAGACTAAATTCACTTCACAGAGGGAAGAAAAATGTTTTTATTTCTTTAAATAAATGTCTAACCTCTTCTTCACCCATGTGCTTCTAACCTTCACACACTCCATGAATTGATGACCATCTCCTAAATATTTGGTCACATGATCAATTTCTTTGACCACAAGAAACAGGGGGAGGGGCTCAACGTACCCGGTCTCCCCTACTGAGGAGGAACTCCTGCAGATTTGGATCCTAAACTTTCAGACTTTAATGAACTCAGACCTCAAAGAGGATCAGAGTCTAACAGGATCAGTCTGATGGTGGACTCAGAGCTGCAGAGTAAAGATGGAGGAGGATCCGGATCAGGGGCGGAGGTTTGATCCGTCTCAATAAGAACTCAGAGTTTTTCTGAAGTGGATCACAGAGACTCTCCGGACCTGAGCTCTGGGTTTGACATGAATCTGAGGGTCTGATGTGGGTCTGATGTTGGTTCCGTTTGATTCTGTTTGTGGAGAAAGTTCTGCCCCCCCCCCCCCCCCCACTCTCTAATAAAACGCGGAAGTGATAATGAGCCTGTGTGAGCACGCGCCGCTGCTCCTCTCATCTACCTGTCCACACCTTCAGCTCAGATTAAGTCCAGATTAAGTTTTTTCCTCATCTACAGGGTCAGACCCAGAGGATCCGGATCAGTCTGTCCCGCTGTTCTGACTGAACCCGCCCGCGCGGGACGTGCAGGTAAAAAGAGAGAGAGGAGGAGGGGTGGGGGGTGTACTTACAGCCGTATCTGGGCCGGAGCCCGTCCGTCTCCTCCGAAACTGACATGGTGGACTGAGAAAAGAGTCCTCCTCAGGTCCGCAGATCCGAACTTTAGTCCTCCGAGAGTCTCGGACCGGCAGGGGTTCAGTCTGTGGTTCGAAGAGCAGAAAGAATCCGGATCAGTCCTCAGAGTCTGAGTCTGCAGCTCCTCTCAAACTTTCCTCTCTCTCTCTCTCTCTCTCTCTGTCTCTCTCTCTCTCTGGGTGTGTTCTCTCTCTCTCTCTCAGCCTCAAATATGCGTTTCAGGAAACACGCAGCAGCTCAGCGCCGCAGCGCCCCCTGCCGGACACACTGTGGCTCTGCAGGCTGCGGCCCGGGGCCCCTCTGAGGGCCGCTCCACAGAGAGAGCAGCGTCATTGTGGTTGATATGAATCCATGTGATCAATAATGAGTTCAGGAAGAGACTGAATAATTGATTTAAAATCATCAATAATCAATAAGGATGTTTCAGGTCAGTCTCAGCTCAGGTAAACTGAACTCACCTGTTCACTCTGAAGCTCACACAGTTTATGAACAACCTGATCTACAGCAGGGACACTTTTCTGACCAATCACACATCCTTTCACTCAGCATGACCTCTGACCTTTAGGCCGATGATAGAGGCCGTGTCCTAAATGGATCACTAACCCCTGTAAAGGCGACTACATGAGGGTTAGCGCCATTTTCTGTCTGTATCTCCTCTTTAGATCTTTATGTCCCATATAAGTCACTGACCAGTTTTCTGTCTCTCTGAGTGTCTCTGAGTCTTTTAGCTGCAAACGGTCTGCTGCGGAACTGCCTGACCCCAGCTGCATCCACCCTGGGCCCTGAGCTCCTCCAACTCTTTGGCTCCTCTGGACTGTTGCTGTTACTGTTACTGCAGACATGAACATCAGCCTCACTGTCATTATTGACATTAATAACATAAAATAGAACTGACTACGATTAAGCCTGCTAACTGTAATCACACTCAATTAATTCAACATTGTCCATTATCACTCATATCCTAACCCTGTAAACTGAACGTCTTTTTGTTTCACCATTACATGAGCTGTTGTTGTTGTTGCTGTTGTTCCTGCTGCCTCCTGTCTCTCTCTCACCCTCGTTCCCTACTCTCTCTCCCTCCCCCTCCCTCTCCGTACTCATTCTCTCTCGCCTTTCCCCCATCTTGTTGTCTCTCTCCCTCCCCCTGTCCTCTCCCCCTCTCCCCTCTTCTCTCTACATTCCTCCCCAACCCAGCAGCGGCATGGTGGCTGTCTAGCATGAGTCTGGTCCTGCCCAAGGTTTCTGCCTGTTAAAAGGAAGTTTTTCCTTGCCACTGTAACTCATGTTAGTTGAGATGGGCCAAAACCCATCTTAGGTTGGTTCTTGATCATCAAACAATGAGCGTGGTCCAGACCTGCTCTTGTTCCTTGAAAAGCGTCTTGAGATGACGACTGTTGTGAATTGGCGCTATATAAATAAAATTTGATTTGATTTGATTTTCAGGGGTGTCCCAAACCTCAGTGATTCATTTTGGACACAGCCTGAGAGTCCTCTTTGAACTGAACTGCACTGAAAACCTGATCACCTCATCTTAATCTAATCTGCACTTAATCTTAATCTAATCTGCACTTAATCTTAATCTAATCTGCACCTCATCTTAATGATTTTAAAACCAAACTCAAAACGTACCTTTTTAGTCTTTATTATTTCTTAAATTTCCCTCTTTGTTACTTTAGTTTTAGATATTAATCCTCCAGTGTTTCCTTACCTTGAGTTTTAAAACAGCGTTTCCTCAGTCGCTCACATTTCAAACCTTTTTAAATTAATCCATTTTAATCCTGTTTCTGTTGCGTTTAGATGGTGGGGATGAGGGGTTGGGTTTGGGTAGATTTGGGTTTTTCTTTGTTTCTTTTATTCCTCTGCTTTATAAAACACTTTGGTCTACATCGTTTTTGTATGAAGTAGCTCTATGAATAAAAATTGATTGATTGATTGATTGATTGATTGATTGATTGATTGATTGATTGATTGATTGATTGACTGAAAAACTTTGAGCTCAAACCCTCAACCTGCGGCCTGAGTTTAGAGGAATCAGTTCATCTTTGAGCGATGAGGGTGTTAACGCTGACCCACAGAAGGTCCTGGAGCGGTCCGCACCTCCACATCTCACCACAGTGAGGCAGCAGGACCACGACAGGAGCCGACTGAAGGACAAACACACAGGAGGAAACATGAGCAGGGACTCCAGGGAGCCGGGCAGACCCCCATCCTGCTGGGTCCCTTCTGGGTCGTGGTTCTGACCCGGTCATAGAGGAGGACCCGAGTGCAGACCTGCTGGAAATGAAGAACAGAGATGATTTAAAATGTCCACACGGAGACGTTTTTACCGTCTGACGGTCTGCTGTCAGGTTCCATTCTGTGTTTGGGTTTGTTCTGGTGTCGGTTCTGTTGAGAGGTAATCAACGCTGTGACGGGTTTGGACCAATCAGGATCAAGTATTACCACAGCTGAGCGATGATGATGTTTGAACCAGAACTCAGAGACCACATCACAACGTTTCTAAATCCTCCTCCTCCTCTTCCTCCTCCTCCTCCTCCTCCTCCTCTCCCTCCTCCTCCTCCTCCTCCTCTTCCTCCTCTTCCTCCTCCTCTTTTTTCAGTAAAGGCAGAAACGGATCATTGATCTCTGCAGTTTTATAGATGAGGTCTTGTTGCATTGATTATTGATAGTTTAAATTGAAGACAGAAGCTGCAGGCTGACTGATGGACATGTCTCTTTATTTGACATGTCTTTTGTTTGAGTCTGTCTCTTTGTTGGACATGTCTCTTTGTTTGTTATGTCTCTTTGTTGGACATGTCTCTATGTTGGTTATGTCTCTTTGTTGGACATGTCTCTTTGTTTGTTATGTCTCATGTTTGCCTCTGTCTCTTTCTTGGACATGTCTCTTTGTTGGACATGTCTCTTTGTTGGACATGTCTCTTGTTTGCCTCTGTCTCTTTCTTTGACCTGTCTCTTTGTTGGACGTGTCTCTTTGTTGGTTATGTCTCTTTGTTGGACATGTCTCTTTGTTGGTTTTGTCTCCCTTTGTTGGACGTGTCTCTGTGTTGGTTATGTCTCTTTGTTGGACATGTCTCTTTGTTGGTTATGTCTCTTTGTTGGACATGTCTCTTTGTTGGTTATGTCTCTTTGTTGGTTATGTCTCTTGTTTGCCTCTGTCTCTTTCTTGGACATGTCTCTTTGTTGGACGTGTCTCTTTGTTGGTTATGTCTCTTTGTTGGACCTGTCTCTTTGTTGGACATGTCTCTTTGTTGGTTATGTCTCTTGTTTGCCTCTGTCTCTTTCTTGGACATGTCTCTTTGTTGGACGTGTCTCTTTGTTGGACGTGTCTCTTTGTTGGTTATGTCTCTTGTTTGCCTCTGTCTCTTTCTTGGACATGTCTCTTTGTTGGACGTGTCTCTTTGTTGGACATGTCTCTTTGTTGGACGTGTCTCTTGTTTGCCTCTGTCTCTTTCTTTGACCTGTCTCTTTGTTGGACATGTCTCTTTGTTGGACATGTCTCTCTGTGTGTCTCTGTACTCCCCCTCACAGTCTTTCTAGTGGTCCAGTAGAAACCAGTAACAGTAATAGAGCTGTGTGCTGAGGGGCTGCAGACAGACAGACAGTCAGACAGACAGTCAGACGTCCTGCTGTCTCTTATGTCCTCGCCTGTGTTTGGTCTCAGCTGGACGCTCTGCTCCATTCTTCTGTCGGACAGAAAAACGACGTCTTTTTATAAAAGTTTCAAACAGCTTCATTAAAGCTGAGGGGCTGAGAGAGCAGAACACGAATCCTCAGTGAGTGAGTGAGTGAGTGAGTGAGTGAGTGAGTGAGTGATTCAGACTGCTCTGGGATCAGTCTTTGAGTCTTCAGGTCTTTTATTTGTGTTACAGTCAGGCTGGAGTAAGTACTGCATAAAGTTTTTACTGATTAGAAAAAAAGTTTAAAAAATATATTTAACCGGTTTGTTTGTTAGTGGCTAAAAATGTCCACGAAGAGGACGAAAGGGTGTCAATTTTGAGCAGAACACAAGGGTTAAAGAAAATAAATAAAATCAAATGACCGACAGTAACCCCTAAACCCTGACACCCCCGACCCCTGACCCCTGACCCCTGACCCAGATCCACACTGAAGAGCAAACATGGAGGATTTATGTGTTTATTAATGACATGCTGCTTCAAAGACTCAGTAATAATACAGTTATGATCATAAACAGAAGACACATGCGGGACATCAGGGCACACACACACACACACACACACACACACACACACACACACACACACACATAAATCGTCCTTATCCTCTTCTTCAGATGCACTTGAGCAGGTAGGAGTTACAGTTGGCTCCTCGGCCGCAGTCGCACAACTTCCCGATACGAGGACCGAACCTCATCGCACACCGATCACCCATCCCACACTGTGAGACACACACACACACACACACACACACACACACAGTTGAGTGTCAAACAGCAGAAATCTGAATAATGATTGGTTCAGTAAAAACGTGAATAAATCACGACATAATTGGGCGTTAATGTTTTTATTAATTTAATCGTTTTGAGCGTTTTTCACTCTCATGATTTATGAGGATTAAACCGTTAAATAATTAAACATGCTCATTAACGGTTTCTGATGGATGAACTGGTTCTGCTGCTGGTTTATAGACACGAGTTACACTAGACTGACTGTTTCTGTTGTTCCGTCTCTTTTACTTCATTAGAGTTTCAGTATAATCCTGCTTTTAATTACAGAGAAAATCCACACTCAGTGTTTCCTTCTTATCTTTTAATGAGCTGCAGCTTCTACACTTTTAATTAAAATGCAGACTAAAACACTGGCAGGAAGAAAATAAGGCCTAAATAACCCGGAGAGAGGGAGCGGGACTCTGCTGCAGAGTCACGCTTTTAAATCAGTATCAAATATTTCTGATTATTTTATTTTTAGGATTAACTTAACGAAGATTTTATTTTCAATCACATTTTTGTGCTTTTTAAATTTTCTCCAAACATTTCTGCATTTCTTTAAAATAACAACAACTGTTACATTACCAAAGAATACAGTTACATTCGTCAGATTTATCAATTAATTGACTTATTTATTCAATCAATCAATTAAAATAAATCAATAACTTAAAATAGAGTGAAATTAGCTTAATTAAGAATAAAAGTGTACCAAAGGGATGCTTCCTCTCTTCTCCGCTGATGAAACTCCAGAGTGAATCCTGGACAGCAGAGCTCCAACAGCTTCAACCTGAACACATTAATAAACCAATAATCAATCAGTCTGATCAATGAACACATTAATAAACCAATAATCAATCAGTCTGATCAATGAACACATTAATAAACCAATAATCAATCAGTCTGATCAATGAACACATTAATAAACCAATAATCAATCAGAATAATCCGTCAACACATTAATGAACCAGTAATTAGTAAATCTGAATATTGCGATGAATTAAAAAATAATATCAATAATATCAGGCTAGGTTAATTAACACCTGGCTCATGGATAGCTAATAGTTAATTGACCTTATCAATTAATGTAATCGTCACTAATAATCATCAATATAAAGTTTCAACATATCACCATAAAACAATGTTATAGATCAACCTCATTAACAGTAATTAAATACCAATCATGAGTCAGTCTGATCAATAAACGCAATAAAAACACATTTTAATTGACATATTATATTGACATGAAATAAAGATAATTAGAGTGATCAATAAATCTATTCATGAATTAAAACCATATCAATGTTTTCCATGACACAAAACTAAAACATTGATTTATATGATCATTCGAACATTAAAACATAAACATATTAATTGATCATTAATATTAAAAGCTTTTAAAATCTCATTCATGTTTTTTTATTTAAAGCCTTTAATAACCCGTTTAAAACCTGTTTGTAATCCATTGAAGCTTTTAATAAATCTTGATACCTTTAAGAATTTGATCAACACTATAAAATCAATTAATCAATCTATTGATTCGTCACCCTATTGAAATAATTGCTAAAATTCCTTTTTGAGATGATTTAGGCCAAAAACTCGTCAAAAAAAGCCTTAGGCCATTATTTTAATAGGATGATGATTTCATCTTTAATCATATTGCACCATTTTAAAACAAACGTTATTTAAAATCTTCTGAGCACTAAATTAAAAGCTTTTAATTGAGCTCTTTTTCTGCAGAAAACAATTATATCGATTATTCAGTTTTTGGTTGTTTATACTTTGTTTTGAATCCTTCCTAACGCAGCAGGGCTTAATCGTTTTAAATAAATCTAAAGTCTTTTAAGAACCATTTTAGTCCTGCTTTCAGCTGACGAGGACCAAAATATTAGAGATACTCCTAAAAACACCTGAAACCTCAAAAACCCCGACAGGAGACCCAAACATCTCTTCAATTCCACCTTAAAAACACCAACAGAGGATTTAATAATAACAATAATAACAATAATAAATAATAAATAATTATAACATTAATCAGACATTTGTGACGTACTGACCAGGTCTTTGTCTGCAGCAGCTTCAGGTCCAGAGTCCTCAGAGGAAACATCAGGAGACGCCTGTCCTCCAGAGAGGATGGAGAGCAGGAGGAGCAGGAGGAGCGAGCGGAGCAGCCAGGAGCTCTCCATGGTGCAGGAGGAGGAGGAGGAGAGGAGGAGATATGAAGGAGGCGCTGAAGAGGAGAAGAAGAGGAGGAGGAGTGTGAGGTCTGTGGAGGAGGCAGCAGGTGTTCGGGTCAGAGGGTCCCAGCAGGTCCTTTGAGTTTGTTTCACTGGATCCTGTTTTATAAAGACTCCTTTAGCCCCGCCCACAGCGCAGCAGGGGGAGGAGTCAGAGAAACACCAGCTCTGTGTTTTCTGAAGGATGTCTGCGGTGACTCTGACCGGAGGAGGAAACACACCTGAGGCGTCCGGAGCGAGGCCTCAGGTACCCTCAGGTGTGCGTCGTCGTTTACCTCCTGATGATGCCGATCGCTGCAAACCGACCTGACGACAAACTGAAGTCGTCATAGCAACCTTTTGGATTCAGCCCTCCTCGGTTATTGGAGGTTTCTCTGTCTCTCTGATGTTTCCACAGGGAAATACACACATATTGATCAACACACACACATTTAGTGACCCCCTGAGGCTCAGCTATTGACCTTTGACCCTGTGATGAAGTGAATGTGTCAGCTGAGTGTGATTATCGATCAGATGTTTCCTGATCGCTCCCTCGGTGAGTCGTTCAGTCAGAACAGAAACGTGTTCGCGCCTCTGAGTTTACAGTTTATTCAGGATCTAATACATCATAACCTGACACACACACACACACACACACACACACACACACACACACACACACACACACACACACACACACACTCAGACTGCATGGTGTTGGTTCAATAGAGTGCGGGTTGGTCTTCATGTTTAGGTGTTTGTTAACAGTCAGGGTTCGAACAGGGTGCTGTGTGTGTGTGTGTGTGTGTGTGTGTGTGTGTGTGTGTGTGTGTGTGTGTGTGTGTGTGTGTGTGTGCAGACACAATCAGCTAATTAAGGCAGCTATCAGCTGATTCAGCATCGATCAGCTGACACTATTATCACCAAAAAGAGTCACTTCATTCAGCTCTGGTGGGCGGGGCTTCGATGAGAGTAGGGCTGGACGATAATCGATAACGATATATATCGGAAATTTATTTCCCTCAATATCGATATATAGCAGCTCCACCCAACCATAGCACTTTAACAGGTGAAGCCGACAGCACTGTTGGTGAGAAACAAAGAAAATGAGTGCTACCCCCGACAGAAATGACCATGAAGGCTCAACAGATGACCACATCAATGTCAACCACAACACTGGCGTTAGGAAAACGTCGGTGGTGTGGAGGTATTTTGGTTTTTGGAGGTCGGACATGAAGCAGAGTAATGTGGACTGTAAATTATGTCGAGTACATGTTCTCACAAAGTCGGGGAATACCTCAAATCTTTTTCACCACCTGAAGCAGCGCCACGCCGCAGAGCACGCGCAACGCAAAAGGTTACGAACCCCGAGAGGAGCGAGGAGCCGAAACAGACGACCATTCAGTCGGCTTTCTCTAGAGCGACGCCTTACGACAAAACGCCAAAGAGACACAAAGACCTCACAGATGCAGGAGATTATTGAAAAGACATGAGACCAATAAACACTGTTAGATTTTTATATCCTGATATTGATCGATATCAGCTGATAAGAAAACAAATATATCATGATAAACTTTTACCTATATCGCCCAGCCCTACATGAGCGTGACTTCGGAGATGTTGGATGTTCCTCCTGTCTCTGTTTACTCTGTGAGGGTAAAGAAAGGTGTTCCTCAGTGATCAGGTGAGCCGGGTCACCTGGGCCTCGTTAGTCAGTGACGAGTTCCTAATTAAACCAATAAAGAGAAAATGAAGCAGGTGACGAGTGAGCGGGATCGAGGTTTGTTTTAATGAGCTGAACCTCACACTGTCCACTGTATACATTACAGTCACTGTGGGCTTTACCTTTGAGGTGTGTGTGTGTGTGTGAGTGGGGTGTAATGTATTGTAATCTCAGAGCAACTTTAAAACAAAATCCATAACACTGGAGTGTTATTTATGTCAACCTGCAGGCACAGATACTGTTATCTTTGTGTGTGTGTGTGTGTGTGTCTATAATCTAATGACCTGACACACACACAGATCACCTGACTGTATTTTTCCCGCTGTGACTTCAGTAAACAGAGAGTGTCTCCAGCCTGCAGCTGCTCTCATCTGTCAGAAATGTGATTTAGTCCTAATCTGGATCATTAATCTGTGATGTTTCCTTCATACCACTCAGGAGTGAAATCATTCAGGACAGTGAATTACATGTACAGTCAACACAAAGACCTGATTAGACACGAGTCCTGGTGCCACGACGGGAATGAGGCGAGTGAGGCGGTGCAAAATGAGCGAATCATGTGCATGAATGACACAAAATGGAAACAGGTTCAACGCCGTCGCTCGCTTCATTTGACAGAATCTGAACTGGAGTGAATCATCCACACCAGAGAACCTTCATGGAGATCTCCTGGTGATGCAGATCTGTGGAGGCTGATTCATCTGAAAGATAGAAGAGAGACTGATGGTGACAGTCAGTACGATTACATGACGCTCGAGAAAACCGAATTATCGCCTTATTCCGATTAAGACCGATTAGGACAACTGAAGGTCATGTAAACACCTTAGTCCGACTATAATCAGAGTTTGAGAACTCAGATTAAGACACTCAGATAATGAGATTGGAATTTGATTTTCTCTACCATGTAACCAGCGTAGTCGGAGTATGACGCCACGCCCCCTTTAACCCCGGAACAAAAACACCAGAGAAACTTTAACAGGTTCAGGAGGAAAGTGTGTGTCTGATTCTTAAACATGAAGCCTGGGCCATCCTGTGCAGAGAGAGTGATAACCAGGAGATGGCGCTGTTTATTTTCTGATCATCAAACAGCTGCTGAGGAGAGATATCAGAGTTTTCATTTCGATTGATAATCTGTCACCGATCATAAACAGACCTCAAACCAAAATCAAATCAGCAGCTGGGATCATTTCTAATATTATCAGTTAAACACGTTTGATTTACTGATGCAGGAAAATTAATGAAAAAGAAATGAGACTGTTATTGTTTCATTTCCTCACGGGTTATTTAACTGCGTCAAACCTGAGCAGGAAATAATCCAGAGTCCACAGAGGGAGAAAATGATCTGGAAATGTTCAATTAAAGTTCATTTTGCTTTTAACAGACGAGATTTAAAAAGAAAACAAAACCAACTTTGACATTTAACAAAGTGTTTCTTAGATTTACATCCGAGTACTCATCCCTGCACCCAGAAGATAAAACGTCTTTGTCATTATGAACATGTGCAGCTGTTTGAAATGTCACCTGTTCCTCTGTTCCTCATGGACTTCTCCTCTTGATTCTGTGTGTGAGTGTTACCACGGTGATAACAGGTGGATCAGGTAAGAATGACCTGCAATCAGACTGAATGTGAGGTGGCCTGTGGAGTGGATGGTGATCATAGATCAGGTGTAATAATCATGCAGGTGTGGGGTCAGTCTGTGAGTAATGAGACTCAGGTCTCAGCGGGTTTAATCAAAGTCTGTCTGTCCTCTCAGATCAATATCAGCGTGTTTGAAAGAGTTTCAGGTGATCATGTTCAAAACAGAAACAGGCAGATATTCTCGAATTATCGTTTCCTGAAATCTGACAGGATTAGACCGTCTTCTCTTCTTCTGTGAGTCTGTTCATGTTAGTTTAGATTTTAAAGTTCTTTGAAGAAATGTTTTAAATATTTAATTTTATGCTCTCTTCTTTTTCTGGATTATATTCCCATCGGCCGTCTGTCTCCTGTCAATCTCTCATCTCTGCGGTAAATCTTAGTCCAGGTGGCAGATTCACTCTGTCCCGTTCTGTTCCAGGTGAGCTCACCTGTCCGACTGAATCATCCGACAGAATCGGCTTTTATTCCTGACTCTGGGTGACGAAAAACTGTCCGTCTCATCAACAAACAAACGCAGCAGAGCTCAGAGTCTCAACAATAAAAACTTACTGTGGACAACAGGTACACACATGAACACACATGCACACACATGCACACACATGCACACACATGAACACACATGCACACACATGCACACACATGAACACACATGAACACACATGCACAAACATGAACACACATGCACACACATGAACACACATGAACACACATGCACACACATGAACACACATGAACACACATGCACACACATGCACACACATGCACACACATGCACACACATGAACACACATGCACACACATGCACACACATGAACACACATGAACACACATGCACACACATGAACACACATGAACACACATGGACACACATGAACACACATGAACACACATGAACACACATGCACACACATGCACACACATGCACACACATGAACACACATGCACACATGCACACACATGCACACACGTGAACACCTGGTCAACACCTGAGCACCAGCTAAAGACCCAAACATCAGGTCTGGGTGTCTCTAATCTGTCTTCATGTGGAGGTTCAGGGTCCAGAAATGACCATCTTCATCTTCATCATACTCCTCACCATCATCAATCTCATCAGCTGTCAATGTCTCCTTGTTGTTCCTGATCAGCTGATCAATCAGCTGTGACTGACACCACAAAACAAACGTTTCACTCCGATCAGTTTACTTCATCATCATCAGACCAAATGTTCCTGTTATTGTTCCTAAACCCGCCCACACACACACACACACACACACACACACACACACACACACACACACACACACACACACACACACACACACACACACACCTGCAGCATCCACAGGTAAAATTATTCCACTTGAGCAGCTGCTGATGTCGTCCTGTCACAGTGGATCCTTCTCTCCATCCGTCACACACTGTTCATTATTTACAACCCTTAAAGGCTGTGTGTGTGTGTGTGTGTGTGTGTGTGTGTGTGTGTGTGTGTGTATGTGTGTGTACGTCACTGTGAACTAATTAAAGGTTGTGGTTCAGGTCCTGTCTGCCTACGCAGATCATAATAATACATGCTGTTCTCTACACTGTAATAATAGTGTGTGTGTGTGT